AATTTTTTTGATAAATTAACATGTTTTTAGGTTTATAGATATTTTGATTTATGTAGACAAATTTTAATAATTACTAAAATTTTTAAATATTTTTTATGTTAAATTTTAGCGGCTTTAAAATTTTTTATATATTTTAAACTATGGATATTTTTGTCTATATATATAAATTATGAAAATAATTCCATATAATCTCACCTATTGCTTAATTAAGTATAGAATAAATTTTAGATCCAATCCAAAGAAACACCAAATATGAGATTAGATTTTATTATCTTATTCAAATCAGTCCAATCCAATCTCATCCTATTAATTATATCCAATCCAATCTCATCCTGCACTCCAAACATGCTCTTAGTGTCCTAATTAGCAAGATGTTGACACATAGTTTTGTGGCAAAAGTGTTTAGTCATGTTGCTTTCATTCCAAAATTGCAATGCATGTCGGCTGTTCTTTTTCCTTTTCTTAAGGATTAATTTTAGATTTGAGTGAACTTACATGTCCACTAAATTAAGTTCATCTTTCTAATAATTAAAGATAAGTCATCAGCCGTCCCTGAATTAAAAAGAGAAATGCTTCTAAAAAAAGATTATGAAACGCGAACCGTAAACCCATCATCAATCAATTAGATAGTTGCGAATTCCAACTTGGTAATTCTACTTTTGGTCTAATGCCAAGCCACTCTTGAAACTAGAATCTCAAATTTGCCCAAATTTTATTTTATCTTGATCATGATCAATAACTAAACAACCCGATATATAGTTTTGTTTATCTTAAAATTCAAATCGAAGACTTTAAGAATCACAAAATTTTATTAATAGAAGAATCAAGAACATTACTATAATAAGTTGCTCAAAAACAAAATGACTACTACTGGTTGAATCATTGAAGTAGTGGCGGGTGGCGCATATGTCATCGGAATCTTATTAACAATATCTGGGTTTTGACTAAAATTTTTTGATGGAGAGTCTGAGTGACGGGATATGATTATTTTTCCAAACTGCAGTAGTTTGATTTTGAAAGTATTCTTCCATGTGGTCTCATGTGTCAATATACAGTGGTCAAATCCACTCAAACTTCATTATGCCCTAATTAATCCTCCTCTTTTGCTCATCTTCACGTTCTTGTTTACTCCAGCAACTTGGTCATCTCATGTTCTCTGATATTCCTAAACATTCTTCCCTTTTTTTAATCTGTTGCAGTTAATATAGTTACAAAGTTAGTTAGATCATGCGATTTAAATTCTCAAACTACTTCCAAACTACTCTACCATAAATTTTTTATAATAATCACCCGAAGCTTCACTTTTAATTTTGTAGTTTTTCTTGTGTGAACACAAGCGGTTCTTCATATATATGTAATAACTAAATAAGTTTAAATCCAGATATATATATATATATATATAACCAAAGTGTAAAACCCTTAATTTTGCATTTTATGAATTATATGCTGCGAGAAAATCCCAAATTCATATTTACTCAAATTTGATTGACATAATAATTAACAAGAGCTTCCTAGTAAAATTGTAAGGTTAACATGTTTTGAACTTAAATACGTACAAGATATCAAGAATGAATTAAAAGATGAAAAAAAAATTACAACTCCTCACATATTTGACATTAATTAAAGTATCATTAGATCAGAATAAATGCTGAGAGTTGACTTCTACAGATGTTTCTTACGTAATTAAGCAGGGGTTTGACTTTCTACAATATGGGCGGGAGGAGCAGAAGTTTTAATTAAGATGGATCACATGGTTCTTGAGGTGGCAGTGAAAAATTAATTTTGGACGGTGATGATCATATGTTTACGTACGCCATAATCTCCAACGCCGAGCTAGCTAGACCTACCGGCCTCAGATAATGCTATGCCATGTGCAGGTGCAACAAAGCAACTCCTTAATTATATTATTCATATTCATTCATTGGAACCTAATAATTATCCCCCCAAACATTTCTTCTTCTACAATCCAGTTCAAGTTTCCCGAGAAAATAAAAAGGTTTCTCAAGAAAAAAATGTTAACTATATATATTATCGAGCACTGGTAGATACACTCTTCAATTTAATAAGTTTAATATAATATATGTATAGTATATTTATTAAAAATTATTATTTTTTATTTAAAATTAAAGAGTATAAATTTAAAAATATAACTATATATATAATATGTAAGAATCAATTATATTAATTGTATTTATATTATATTTTAATAATTAAATCAGATAAGTATTAAAAGATGTGTTGACTCAAAATGTATACCATCTATTTTCCTATACTATATACGACTCTTAACTGCTTTGAAGGGATGTATGTCTATATATATATGATTCGAATAATCATCATAGAATTCCAGCTCTCCATCTACGTGGATGAAGAGGAATGTGCATGAATCTTCTCGTCCCAAAAGCGCCCACGCGTAGACGTATTTTGAGTTTCCAATACACGACTTGGAGCTTATTAGGATAGTGGACTGTCATATGATCTGTCTTTGTGAGAATTTACTTGGGAATGAAACTTGATCCTACTAAAGAATTTACTAGGGGAATGTGGAGATAAATAAACAAAGTAATTAGCGTTCTTATTATAAGTTTCATTTTTTTTTTAGATTATATTATACTATAGAATAATAATTATTAGATCAAAAGAAATTCTTCAATATCAAGAGTTTGTTTCTCATATAATAATTTATGTTATATAGTGTGGTATAATTTAGACTGTACAATATTTTTTAAAAATAAAATAATGAAATATATGTTTGATATGCATACGTTGATTTACGTTTCATGGTAAGTAAAAAAAGCTCTTTGTAATTACTGTTATATAAGATTGTAAGATTTATTGCAATAATTATGGTAGCATGCATTAATGGAAAATTTTACAACATTGATCTTGTTAAATGCACAAGGGAGACATATTTATATGAAATTGTAAAGACTTGAATTGAGTGGATCCAGTGAGCAATATTTATTAAAGTAATTAAATTAGGTTTTGTAATTTCAATTTAGCAGTGGACCAGTCAAAACATTTAGTCAAATTAATTAATTCTTACGATGAGAATTAATAGTAGTTTGAGACTTGGATTAATACAAAGTCAAATCAAATTATAAGAAATTAATTGCAAATAACAAAAAATTAAACCGCCTATTATGTGGGAGAAGCATATGATTTTGACTTAATTGAGTGTTAATTAAGATTTAATGTGATTTCATATATGTACTTCAATAAAAAAAAATGTACACAACTCTAAGAGTTTGATTCATTAGTAAACTATTGTCAACTTGGTATTAACACTTAAGAAAATTAATTTTTTTAAATAAATTAATTAGGTCAATATAGAAGTGTATTTTTAAGATCAACTAAGGAGAAATTAGTTTCAAAATGTGCAAAAATTATCTAAAAAACACTTTGATTGTAATTAAAAAAAATAAAAGATAAAAAATGTATTGTCGTAGGTGTGGATAAGCTAGAGAAATCCTTTGAAAATTGCTTACTACATGTCATTGGAAGGGTCACCCACATGTTGAAACCCTCATTTTGGTTGACGTAATTACTTAAATGAAAATCCACCTGACCCTCTCTCTCTCTCTCACAAACCCCTCAACTTGAAAGTAATTAAGAAATCTTCTTTGTGTGGTTTTCTAGGGTTAGTTCTGTATACACTCTAAGTGGGGCGGCACCGGGAATTAAGAGACTCCGCAACTGAAAAGAAAAAGAAAAAAAAAAATTCACATGCATTTAAAATATAAGCTTTCGATGCCACATGCAACGCTTTGGTCGTGCCACATGCAACGCTTTGGTTGTGCCAGGTGCAATGATCCTAACACAGTTTTTGGAGAAGTTGAACAACATTATAATATAAATTAATCAAAGATCAGATGGAGCTACAACAGGAGAAGACTTCAAGTTTGATTCATGCATATATTCATTTACAAATCAAACTGTTTTACCGAATCTTGCCGTTGGGTTTTGATCTTTTCCTCTCTTCTATTAAATGAAGGAATTACAACAAGAGATCGGCTGAGTTAATATTTATTACTTTTAAATTTTAAAAACTAATTAGTATATTTTTTAATTTGATATATTTTTTTGGATATTTATTTGGGTTAACTATTTAAAAAATAATATTATAAAGACAACTTATTCTTATATGTTTTACACATGATTATATCTTTACGTTTATTTATTTTTAATTTAATGTTAGAAAATAATAATTTTTAATAAATATATTATATAATATATTAAACTGAAAAATATACTAATTAATATCCTAAAAATTTTAAAGTCAAAGATATTAATCCTTGCAATGCCAAGCAAGTAACTTCTTATATACTAAAAAATCAAAGGGAAAAATGAGGTCATATATATACTCACAACATTCAATTTATTAGTTGGCTCAAGTGATAAGAAGTGGCGGAAGCCATATATGCTGATAATGCAGGTTAGTTTGAATTCCTTTACATCAACAGTCTAATCGATCCCCCTCATTAATTTGGGCTTCTATAATTGACATACCTTTGTTTCGAATTATTATGTTTTATTATTATATTATATAATTGCAAGTAAGTTCATGTTCCATACCATGTGACTAAGGAATAAGTACTGTTTTCCGAATACTTAATGTCAACTAAATTTCTAGAATAATTGACACTTTTAG